AATTTTGTTTAATGACTTTATAATTTAATTAATAACTATAAAATTAAAATTTTAATTCTACATTTTTTAATTTTAATTTTTTTTATTGTTGGAACAAGTATACTAGTATAATCAATAGAATACATTTCTGTCGATTATACTATTTTTTACCTTGCTTATTCAACAAATTTAACTGTCAATGACAAGATCCATAAACTTGTTATTTAAAGTATATGTGCTAGATTTTTATTTAAATTATTACTGATTCAATCGTTTTTTTGATATATCAAAAGTTAACTTTTATACTTAATTAATTAAGTTATAATTGATATTTGCTTTAAAAAAATATGATTAAGCCCCTAGAATTGGGATTACCATGAACTACGAATCTCTAAACTTGGAAAATTGCTAAAGGAAATGAAAGAAAGATAAACGACTGAATATGTGGCCGTCGAAAGTGGAGGCATGTGAGAGGAAAATCCCCCTTTGAATTCCTAAGCAAAAATGATGCATAGCCGAGTCTAATTAGTACTGTTTTGCCAAGCTTGGTTCCTCCATTTTGTCCGTAGGAAATTTTCTGTTGAAATGGAGGAGTTTTGGCAGCCTTAAAACATGAGTTTTAAGCTTGCTTACTGTAGGAAATTAGCTTATTATGACTACTGTGAGATTTTGGAGAGAAATTCCGAGAGATTAGTTATTGTTTTGCCAATTTTTGGAAGTTATAGTTACTGTTCACGGGTTAATTAATAAAATGAGTACAAGGGTACTCAACCCGTTATACACCATTCAACCATCCTTTACAAAATCAATCCTGTCAATCCGACCTATCCCCTGGCCTTCATCCTTCCCCCACAGTTATCTTTCATACATGCAACAGGGTTAATTAGCCAATCTGATAAAGTGAAGGCATACCTGTCTTTCCTTGTTTTAATGATGCAACCATACAAACACGGTAATAATTCACATGATAATATAGCTGCAGAAAAACATCACCCTAGAGTCTAGACAACAGACTGAACAGAACACAAACTAAAGGATAACAAAATATCACAAACTAAATCATGGGCTTAACTGACAATCACTTTCGTTTTATTTGAGATAAGTGAATTAAGGATATATAAAATCCAACTAACGATCCCTTTTAGCCTTCTTCACTTCAATCCTGTACGTACACTGAGCGCCAGGGTCGAAGTGGTTATCTTCTCTGTAAAGGCTGATCTCATCATTTTTTTTTATGGCTTTCTCGTTTATGAACTTCTTCCAACCATAAGTGAAACATATCTTGCCGCTCTGATTTTTGATGGTAAGCCTGTGAGTACCCCCCTGATCGTCTTTAACCACCAACTCCGGGCTCTTGCCGCTTGATAAATTGCTGTGATCTTCAGGTGAAAGATTTGTCAAGATAGCATCAACTGGAAACTTCAGTTCATCATTTCCAAGGTCATTGCTCTCAATCTTTCTATGCTCAAAGATGGCCGCCATTGTGTTGGATTGGATAGATTCTTTGATATAAGAGAACAAGAGAGAGAGAATTTAAGAACTAGAATGGCAAGTATATATCAGCTCTTAAATGGAACCCATATTTATAGCCAAAGATATCAATTAACCATGTCGCTTGATTAAATCAACAAATAGATTACGTACTTATTGTTGTAATAAGATTTTGTTTACTTGCATGATGTGAATTGGGACTTCATTAGATAACGGATTGATCGATCGACAACTTATTACTTTCGAAGGATGATTGCGATGAGTCCTAGTGATCCAGAAATGGTAAAAGTTGCTAAATTATACGATTGATCACTACTAAAATTTTGACCATTTCGGTCAAACAATTTTTTGACCGAAAAAATAGTTAATTCGGACAAATTCAATGACCGAAAATAATGGAAAAAAGCATACAATTCAGTCCCATTTTATTTCGGTCAAGTATTTTGACCGAATTAATTTGGCACCAATTGGTGTCGAACCAAATCGGTCAAGTGTCTTGACCGAATGTTGCCTACCCATTTATTCGTCAAGAAAACTGACCGAATAGAAATAAAAAAAAATATCCATACTTTTTTTAGAATTAAATATTAATAAATGAAATAAAATATTGTTATTTCGGTCATAAATATTGACCGAAATAAAAATCTGAACCGATTTGATGATGGTTCTAAAATTGCAAAGATGTTTCGGTCAGCATGGCTGACCGAAACAAGAGTTGGAAATCTCCATACAGATTTTCTCAAGCTGACTAAAACAAAAATTGGAAACAAAAATTGGAAATGCATGGAAATCTGCTTTGGAGATTTCCAATTCTTTTAGAAATTTAATTTAGAAATTTTTTTAAAAATTTGTGATTAGTAATTGGTAAATTATAATTAATTGATTAATTGATTGATTAGAGAGAAATGTGATTAAATTGTGTAACTCAATTTTACAATTATAATTATAGTGAGTAATTTACTAATTAGTAAATTATA